CCCCACCCCGCAGCATCGCACTCCGGGGAGAAGCCGGCCCCCACCCTCCCCCAGTTCACCATGGGCCCCCATGTGAGGATCAACGTGCTGGGTGAGTCTGCGCAGCGCCCTCTGGTGGCCACTGCTGGAACCGCAGCCCCCTCCCCGGTGCCTGCCCACCTCGCATGCCTCCCCCGGGGGGCACGCACCCCTCGTACCCCGTGGGTGGTCACGTCCCGGCTCCACCGCTGCTGCCGCTGCCGTGTGCCCCGCCCGGGCGCGCGGCCCAGCCCTCACCAGTCTCTCTATCTGTCTGCCCACAGAAGACTTTGAGGGAGAGAACCCCCAGGTGCCCAAGCTTGAGAAGAGCGTGAGTGGGACCAGCCCCAAGCGGGAACACCTGCCCCTGGCGGCGGGCATCGCCTTCTTCCTTATGACGCTCCTGGCCTCCTAGCTCTGCCCCCTCCCTTGGCGGGGGGACGCGGGGCTGGGAAAGGGCAGGGGGACTCTGGCCTCTCCAAGGGAAGTCCAGCTGTGGGGCCTAGACCCCCTCCTGCTGTGGCTGGCAGTGGGGCCTGCACCGTACCTCTGTGCCCGTCCCCTTTGCCCCCGCTCTCCCCGCGTAGGGCACTGGAGTGGACCAGACGCAGGCACAGCCCCGGGCCCCGGGTGGCCCTGGGGCTCCGGGACCTTTCTCTGATCCCTGGTACCCTCTCCTGTTGTCCCCACCAGAGACAGGTATGCCCCGGAGAGCGCGCATCCGAGCGTGGGAGGCACCCCAGTCGTTCTCTTCTAAGGGCGGAACCCAGGGAGGGGACTAGATGGGCGAGGGGGTGGCAGCGCCCACTGCCCCCTCCCCATGTTTACAGCAATAAGCACGTCCTCCTCCTCCCACCCCCGTCCCCAGGATTGTGGTTTGGATTGAATCCAAGTTTACAAGGAGACACCCCTGGGGGGGGCGGGCAGTGGACAAGGGTGGCAACGGGTGGGCACCGGGGTGCCAGCAGGCATGTACAGACTCTGTATCTCTATATATAATGTACAGACGGACGACTCCCTCCCCCTCCTCGGTCCCTGACCTTCCCTGACTTCCCCTTCCAGCTTCAGACCCCTTCCCCACCAGGCTAGGCCCCCCCTTCCGGGGGACCCCCTGGCCCCTCTTTTGTCTTCTGTGAAGACAAGGCCTATGCAACGCACAGACACTTTTGGAGACCGTGAGACAACAGCGCCCCCCCCCCCCCCCCCCCCCCCCAGCCCTGAGCCGGGACCCCAGTCCCAGGACCTGGCCCCGCCCACCCTCCGTGGCCCCACCCATCCTCCTGGGCCTTTTTCAAGTGCTTTGGCTGTGACTTTCATACTCTGCTCTTAGTCTAAAAAAATAAACTGGAGATAAAAATAATCGAGTGTGTGTGATTTCAGGGGCCACTACCCTTCCGGACACTGGTTAAACCCCACAGGGCACAGGGTCGGGGAGGGGATTCTGGGGCCAAGGGAGCAACTGAACACCTCCGTCCGGGCTCTGTCTCCCGTGAGGAGGCAGCTCTGTGTCCAGCGAGCACCAGGGGCTCCCAGCCGGGCCTGGCCGACTTAGGGCGCATCATCCACCCTCGGAGGGTCGTGTTTCTCATCAGAAAATTGTAACACGTGTGAGGATTAAATGGCAGCGGAAGCGTACAGCTCCACGGATGGGGGTTGCCGCCTTTTCTTCCCATTCCATTCTGCAATCAGGTCCTTGACTGGGGTCTGTGGATTTCAGGGGGTTGTGAACCCAGACGGGATAAAAGTTACATCTCTGTTTTCACTCACCTGTAACTGAAATTAAACATTCTCTTATGTGCTCGGGCCACAAGCCAAAATAGTTGCTTCTTTGTAACCAACAGAAATCCCAGATGTTTTCGGGCTGCGTGATAGTTTTGAACATCTCTCAAAATAACCATTCGCTCTCATCCCTGCGTTGAAACGACCCGAGTTGTTAGGCCTGCCTTGTTTTTCATGTATTAATAAAGAAGTGTACATATTACTATACCAAAAAATGTAAATGTTTTGTTAACTGTGTTTCCATGTGATTGGTTTCCTTCATAATCCTTTGTGATTTTATTTTGTTCATTTAAAACATTATGGCTGGGGGCGCCGGGGTGGATCGGTCAGCTGGGCTTTATGTCAACTCAGGTCACGATCCCGGGGTCAGGGGATGGAGCCCTGCATCAGGCTCCACACTGAGCCTGCTTGGGATTCTCTCTCTCTCCCTCTGCCCCTCTCCCCTGCTCGCATGCTCGCTCGCTCTCTCAAATAAAAATTAAAAAAAACAAACACTATGGTGCAAGGGCTGAGTTTGCTGCTGCTGGGGCCGCTGCCACCCTCCATCTGTCAGGAGAGAGAGGAGACAGCAAAAGACAGGCGAGCAGGTGACGCGGTCACATGGCCCTGCCAGGCTGGGTGAGGCCAGGGTGGGCACTGAGTGTGGGTGACGACAGAGGCCGAACCCCACCAGGGAGGGTGCTCCTTCTTCCAAGGTGCACACCCTTGGGGCCCCATCGCACCCTGGTTCTCCGACTGGCACTGTGTGCGCAGGCTGGGTCCTGGGTGAGGGCCTTGGCCCCTGGTGGCTCTCACCAGCTGCATCCTGAGAACGAGCCCCTCTCTGGCAGGGACCGGGTCTTCACTCTGTACTCATGAAACACGGGAACTGGAATTTCTTCTGGACCGTGGAGAGCGGGTAGGTTTCCTGCTGGCAGAGCAGTAGGGGACGGAGGGCAGTGGGGAAAGGACCGGGGACAGCCAGGACACCAGTCTGAGGCTCCCCACCTGGAGACACAACTGGAAAGGTAGGTTCGTCCATCCGGTCATGGTTTCCAGGCCAGGCTCTATCCTGGGTGCTGGGGGTGCAAAGACAGCCTCTGCCTCCAGTAAGCTCATAATTTAGCGTGTGTTGCCATGTGAAGAGAGATCAATCACACACACACACACACACACACACACACAGGACAACACCGAGTGTTACATGGTTAAATGCCAGGGGGCTGTGGGAACGTGGAGGGGAACGTACCCCTGTGCCTGGGGACACAGGAAAGAGGCTGCTGGGAGGAGGTACACATAGCTGGCAGCCCCTGGGGAGAGGGGAGGGCCTTGAAGGAGCCAACGCGGCGGGCCTAAGCTGTAGGTCCTCACATCCCAGGGCCACAGGGGACGGGGGGTGGGGGGGGTGGGCAG